CAACACAGGATTTATCTATACTATAACTTGTATTCAGTTTAAACAGAACACACTTTGTGTATACAACACAGGTTTTATCTAATTTATAACTTGTATTCAGTTTAAACAGAACACATCTATACTATAATTTAAAACTTGTACTGAATCATCATTAATTAGGATATTATGGTTTCCATGTAAAAGTAATCATCTTACTTCTTCTATAAATAATCTCCAGTATGACTTCACTTCAATATCAATTGTATTTTCTCCATACAACTTTTGCCTGAGAAAAGAAATAATAATTTCAAATAATTAAAAATATGCAAGTTTATCCAAAAACAATTTTCATTTAAAAAAACAATAAAAACATCTTTAATACACAAAAGTATACACTTACAGTTCATTTTGCTGATTTTCAGAAAGTCCATGAAATTTTTCATTAAAATCACTGCAAGTTAGACCTTCATCAAGACCTCTGTGGAGAAAAAGACTTGCCAAATCATTTTTAAATCAAACATCAAGGATAAGTAGTAATAACTGAGAAATGTTTTTAATGTATTTGTAAATTTTCTTTCAATAGTAAATAGTTCTAACTGAACTTCATATTACCTCTTCTGTTATTGTTATCTGTTGCCACCTACAGGTCAGTTTATAATAAATGCCAGTTACATGTACCTTTCACAGAGGAAATATGTAAAATACTTAGGTTCTCAAGACAGTAGCCTAGAATCAATGTCAGTAGATTTTCAATGACAAAAAAAAAACGTTTGAAATACTTAGGTTTTCAAAACAGTAACCTATACACACTATCAGTAGACTTTCACTGACATTAACATTTTTCATACACTGAAAATGTATTTCTGATATATACTTACCTCTCCCACATAATAGCTTTTCTCGACTTGTTCTGCCCCCTATTTGCACAATTTCTGATCGTCGCTAGCCTTGATGCTCCCATGCAAATGAGCAAGCAACGACCTTTCACCAATTGGAGTGGGACACACCCTCATAGCCAACTGACCCTCTATACTGTAGAGCATTCTCATCACTTCGAGATTAAGCAAAAATAGATGTACCGGGGTGGGAAGGATGGGTGGAAGGTGTGAAGAGAGGTATGTATCTGTCAGAAATACATTTTCAGTGTAGGAAAATGTTAACTTCCAATACAATACCTTACCTCCTCTCATATAATAGCTAAAATTCCACATTCAAATGGTGGAGAGACCAGTGCAAACATTATCTGGATGAGCACCCAAAAAAAAGCCACCTAGTGTGACACCCTAATGTATAGGGTCACACAGACAGGGGAGATAGCATACCATCTGTACCAGGTATACTCTTCGCCTGTTGTCAAGATACATGTTGCCAAATCAGCGAAAAAAAAAAGAAAATGCACGCCTAACCTGTAATTGGATGTGCCAGATGGTGTAGAGTGGCTAAGGCATGTCAACTCCAGTCCAAAAACAGTCGGCATCTGGTATTTGTCCTCCGGTCCATGGTAGGAGAAGGGTCCTAACCATCTTCACCTCACGCCCAGAAAGCAGAAGAGAAAAACAATATCTGTTCTGACATCCCAGCCAGGGTAAATGTTTACAGACCCAGTACACAACCATTACCGGGAATCCAACATCCATATAACAGTAGGAAGGGGAAATCCATACATGGTGGGTTAACGCCAGTCCAAAACCAAGTGGTATCAGGAAGTTTCACCTGTTCTGCATTAGGAGGAGGGTCCATACCAACTACATGTGTAAAGACTTATGTTGGCTGATCCTATGCCAATACAACACCAGATTACACAAAAACCAACATCTAGATAACAGTAGGTTGGGGGACAGCCAGCTGGAGGGGTGAACTGCATGTGAATCACCTCATAATGTCATATTAAAAGCCTAGGCAGCAAGGCTAATGAACCCTGCACTGGTTGTTATAAACAATGTTTTATTCATATTCAAAGATAGCGAATATTGGTAAAAACATGTGAATAATATTCAAATAGAAAATTTATATATTCACCAATCCTATACTATAATATATTTACATCCACCTTTTGTTTACATCTGTTGACATGAAATGAGTATGTATTATTATAATAGATATGTGTGCTGCACATGTATTGATGTGCAAAAATCGGATTTTTACAATAAACGAAAATGCCGATATATTTTTTGACATCTAATAAATCTATAAATGATTTCAGTTCCTCTGTGGACCTAATAAAAATTATTGGTGGGACTGAGAACGTGTTAATATTACTTTAAGTTCAACAAACTTGAATGCAGATTTCTTTCCATAACTGGCAAAAGCATATAGAAGTAAACAAGATGTAACATCAGCACAAATTAGACCTAGGCTTAGGACTAAAAAATGCTGAGATGTACATGCAAATACTGATAAATAGAGATTTAATGAAAAGTTACAATTTTTTATTATTAGACCTATATCTGAATATTGTAAATACAACTGAATGAAGACTTCAAGTTCAAGTAAAATTTCTTCATGTTTGTTATTTAAACATATGACTGTGTACATAGTCTACAGCAAAAGTGACCAATTTCATTGAAAATTAAAGATATGATAGATCTAATATTGAATACATTTTCTGTTTAATTTTTGGAAAAGTAGATTTAATATTAGATCTATAGATAGATCTATTAAATCTAATTGTTACATGCATACCTCGATCTGCTTCTCATACCGCATGCACAAGAAAATTAGGCCTAAGTCTAGCATTAGCTGATTAGGCCTTTAGTACTAAATGTTAGGCCTATATCTATCTGTGCAGACTTAATTAAGTGCTTGTAGTCATAACATTTAACAGTTTTACTATATGAAAATGTAGATCCAGATCTAGAGACTAAATCTAGGTAACACATTAGACCTAAGTACTAACATTAAACATATAGATTTTAATTAGTGTCTAATTTGTAGATGTGATTTAAAGTCTAACTTACACATACATGCCTAGAAGCCCTATAGAGTGTAATATATTATGCAAAATTATGAAAAACCTCTTAATACAAATATTGGTATTTTTTATTATCTTATAACCATACTTGCAATACTTAACACACTATTTAAAAAATAACAGCTACTTACCTGGTTCAATCACAGTATCAACAGATCAGTTAAAATACGGTCATCATGTTCTTGTAAGCATGTAAGACAATAAAATGCACGTGTGCACATGGCAAATCAGTTCATTCAATTATATCTATAGGGTTTGGGGTCCATTTTACTTCACCATACAGTAACCTAAATCGATTTAGCTATGTGAATAATGTTACAATATTTCATTGAATTCATTATTCAATATTATACAGCGGACCAACTGTTTAATTATTGTATACATGTGTTATGGTGATAAGAAATCTTTAACATAGATATACTGTTCATTCGATTGATAATTGATGTTTTTAAACAGTTTACTTATTTTGAAACTTAATCAAAACTTTCAGAATTTTCCGGCATATTTCCAGGCCTGGAAATGATGTTCAAAAATTTTAAAACTTTAAGGATTTCCAGGATTGTAAGAATTCTGGAAATAATACACTTTTCTATGTTTGAAGAGGCATTTGCTGAGCAATTTAAACACAAATTAACTGAAACAAGAAAAACAATATTTAAACTGAAAATTCCTACTTTATTACATGAGCAAAATGGTGGTTATAACAGTTTTTTCAACTCGATTTTATTCACAGATCTTATGTTGTTGTTGTTTTATTAAAAAATTCTCAAGAAAAGGAAGATAAACCCTTGGTTACAAAAATAAACTTTAAAATGTAAGAGTTCTATATGATCTGACATGCAATAATCATGAAACAATCCTTCAAAGAATCATTTTAGTGCATTCTAGCTCTAATAGCTACTGCTTTAGGCTTACCTGAGCCTCTTAAATTCTCTGTTTTTTTCATCCCATACATATTTCAAGCATTGATGTATGAAATAGCGGGAAAAAAACGGGCTATTAAAAAGTAAAAACAAATCATATATCATTTTCCTCAGATTAATAAGTTTGTTATTAGGTTGACAGCTTAATCAAAGAGAATAAGTTCTGTCACTTCAACAAATATAAGATTAACTGAACTAACAACTGAAATAACAATTTTCTAAAAGTTGAAAATTTTTGTAAAATTACTCATATTAAATGAACATGAAGTTACTTGATAAAATGTGAAAAGCTAAATATTTATTGACGCTGTTTAGTCACTCATAACGGTCATAAAGTTATGAGGGTTGAAAATATGTAAACAAAGGCAACATAGCATACATAGTTTAACAGTTTTACAAAAACTTTGTGTGTATAAGATGACCAAAACAAATCATCTTTCAGTATACTAGTACTGATTTATTGGATACCCCATTAACCACATACTGACAGAGTTTATCAAGCTTATTGTAAGAACAGGATATGACCAACCGCCCTGTACCAGATAACATTAACACCATTTTAACTTGGTATCTCCTAGATGACCACAACAAATTACCAGTCAACATTAACACTATTTTAACTTGGTATCCCCTAGATGACCACAACAAATTACCAGATAACATTAACACCATTTTAACTTGGTATCCCCTAGATGACCACAACAAATTACCAGATAACATTAACACTATTTTAACTTGGTATCCCCTAGATGACTACAACAAATTAAGTGATGGTATACTAGAATGTATATCAGTGAAGTGTGCCAAGCTTATAGCAAGACAACAACAGAATACATTCTCTTTAACAGGAAATACAAAAACTATTCTAACATGCTATTTCTAAAATAACGAATTTGACAGTACACCACAAGTTGTTTCTGTCACTTTTAACCACATCTTGCCAAGCTTTCAACAATAAAGAAATAACAAAAACCAATCCTCTATGATACTACTGTAGATATATTTAAATTGTTGTCTCTTGCAAAGGTAAGTTTTTATATTTTGTTGCTCAATATATTTTTAATGGATTGAAAAACTTAACTATGTCAGGCCACTGTCGAGAAAACTATGCTAAATAGTCACACTGACTGCAGGTCACTTGACAATTAAAGACCTATAAAGTGAGCATCTAGCTGCAGTGTCACTCTCTGTTAGGCACATACCCGTTCCACAGTCAAGGAAACAGTTTCATCCAAGTTAATTTCTTCATTGTTCTGACCAGTAACGTAAGTTAGTTTTGCAGGAAAGGATCTTTTATCAGATTTAACTACCACCTTCTCAACACTTATGTGTCCATGAAGATCCTGAAAAGTTGAAATCAATAGAAATTGTTAGAATTACCAAGCTTCTCTAGAGTTAGGTGTGTCTTCAATAGTTAAAATAAATAACATATTGTTACAAGTGTCACATTTTAAACCCTAAGATCACACTACTAGAAAAACAGCAATTTGTTACACCTGAAATCTTCAATATGTAAAGTTGTCTATAAAAAACATCCAATACTTAAGTCAAAGAATAACACACACATAAGCTCAAGATTTAAACAAAAAACTCTAAGTAGATGGTAAAAACAGTAAGAAAAGAAGAATACAGAGAACCTGGTTGTAGTAAATGGTAAAAAACAGTATGAAAACAAGAGTACAGAGAACATGGTTGTAGTAGATGGTAAAAACAGTATGAAAACAAAAGTACAGAGAACCTGGTTGTAGTAAATGGTAAAAACAGTATGAAAACAAGAGTACAGAGAACCTGGTTGTAGTAGATGGTAAAAACAGTAAGAAAACAAGAGTACAGAGAACCTGGTTGTGGTAGATGGTAAAAACAGTATGAAAACAAGAGTACAGAGAACATGGTT